TTCATAAATTTTGTTGTTTTTAAAGAAATGACATGAATAAACATTTATAAACCAGCACTCCTGTTATTTATCTATGTGCAAAATTATGGCAAATTAGTAGTAAGTCATGTTGAAATGTAATAGTTTTTATCTGTTTGAGATAAGATAACAACTCATATGCATRTATTTAGTGTTATGATCCTCGTCATAAGGCTGTTTCAGCTCATATAATTCACCCACCAGCTGATATGCATTCCCAAAGCTTTGGCTAAGTGGGAGCAACTGATCCGTCTCGAGGACTTCTGTCCATTCTCTGTGCAGGAATGTCACTCTGTTTTCTGCAAGATGGATTCTACAACTGGACAAAACCTTGGCTTGAGCTCGTGAAAAACAGTCACAAGATTAACGCGAACAGGTCAAGTTTTGTGTTGCGTTGGTATTTGGCTTTAATAAAATTTTAAGAAACCAAATGACCCAAAAAAACGCAACATTTATATTCAGTTTGTGCGACAATCGGTGAATCGTCTTGGTCATGAACTGCACGATTGTTCTCGTGTTGCTTGTCTTGCACATTCTTTCGGGTTCACGAGTGCCATCTTTTTGTCCAACTGGTTGTTGAACAAGCATGTCAGAATAGACAGGCATGAGCACGTGTGCCTTTTTTTTTTCAGTCTTACCAAATTACAAAGAGCAACACTAAAATGAAGCTTTATTTTTGCACAATTACATTCCAGTGAGTGAAACTGAAATCTGACGTAGGTGGTCATCAAGAAGTCACTGGTCTGGTTTTAAGAGCTCATCTGAAAAGGGCTTTTTAATCAGATGGAAAACACTAAGGCCCAATTTGAGTCTCTATAAAACAGTTTCAAATGAGTCAATAATGTTTTCAACAGAACATTAAATGAACTCAAACAATGTCTTTTTGTCAGCACGTGAAGGTCCAGGCTTCACGTGCTGAACAATATGTAAACAGACAGCCAGCGTTCCTCTAATCTCCATGCTTCCATTCTTTCATCCCTCCCTCCCACCCAGCTTCTCTCTCTGGTGCACGGATGCCGGTCATTCCACTCCACCTCTCAGTCCAGCACAGGCAACTTCAAGCCACATCCAAACCTCACACCCATCTCGCTCGCTCGGGGAAACAGGTAAAACCAGAATGAGCCAGTCTGATGGCAACCCCACCTCTACGTGACAACCCATAAGGGGATGGGCAATGCTTCGGTTTGTTAAATCCTTCACAGCCGAYCTGACCTTTAACCTAAATCATCTGGTGGGGACACGTTTGGAGGAACAGCTTTGATTTAATTAAAGCCAACGCTGTTAGCGTCAGCCTTTAAAATGTAAAAAATAAAATAAATATTCCAATCCTGTCATTTTCATTTGCTGATGATGGGAATATTCACTGTTTGGCTCTGGAGCCAAAAGATTCCAACTCCCTGACCCCGTCCCCTTCATCACCATTCGCAAGCCAACCCAATCACAGACAGGCTCTGTCAAGACATGAGGGTGGAGCGTGCCACTGAAACAGGGTGTGGTCCTGAAACCTGCAAGGTCTGTAGTAGAGCCATGGGCTTTAAATTGAGATGAATGAGCCCGGCCTTCTAGTTATCACAGCGGATTTGTCACTTACTTTCTCTCACTTCTTTCTGTTGCCTCCTCTCTCAGACGTTCCTTTTTTATTTAATTTATTTATTTTTTGTACACACTCAACCTGTTTGACGCTTTAAAGAAGATACTTCACTGTTGAGGGAGGCTGGAGGCTACCACACAGATTAACGTGTCTGTTTTTTTGGGGGGGTGTTTTAAGTTTCACCTGATCTCACTCGTGATCTGTTGGATTTTCTGGACTGAGTCCTGGCTGCTCTGGCTGCACAGCTGCTTTTCAACTGGAGAGCTGAAGACTTTAAAGGGTGAGAAGCCAAAACAAACAARCAAACTGGTAAATCATTGTTAATCTCTGCTTTTTTTACTGTCACATAACTTGGTTAGTTTTAGACTGAACAGGGTTTTTAGATCAGGAAACTGCTCATGCCTCAGTTCGTTGGCTGTGCCGGCCACATGGGGCAAGCCTTTCGCCTCACCTGTTTGACTTGCTCAGTCAGATTGGGTACTTTTGTTTTTTAAAGTTGGTTCACGTGCTTCACAGTCGCTCATCAGACTTCTTGATCTTTTTAAAAGGCCTTTACGCTGAACTTGGRCTGTAAAGCAGCTCTCAGTCCACCATTTCCCACCTGTATTTGTTTAAAAGGCATCAGCTGGGGGTGTTTGATGAGCCTTGTACAGCTGTCTTCTGTTTGTTCAGTCAACAGGAAAGCAAAATGTCACTTTGATGCCTGTCAACTCCACCCTGTTTTGCTCTAAAGTTTAAAAATGTACAATTTTATATGTTTTTTTTAGGGTTTTAGCTGAACAGAAGGCAAGACGTCACCATGCTGCGAGACGCCATAACAAGTGTTTCAAAGCTCCACGGTTATCTGATAAGCAGAACAGGTGAGTATTTGTTTTCGTCATTTATAGTAAAGAAAACAAGTTGTGTAGAAAAAAAATAGATAATTATGTTTCTTCATGTTCTGGTTAAAAGCATTGTGTAACCTTTTTTTTATTGTGCCACTGAGGAAGTCTTACAAGGGTGTGTGTGTGTACATTTCCCAGATGCCAGGGTCAAAGATTACCCTCTGATGCAAAGTCCCGTGCAAATGACCAGCATCCTGGCGGCCTACGTCCTCTTCTCTGTGTACGCCGGACCCCGCATGATGGCAAACCGCAAACCTTTCGCCCTGAACCGAGCCATGATCGTCTACAACCTCTGCATGGTTTTATTGAACGCCTTCATCGTGTATGAGGTAAGAGGAATGCTGATGTGCTGACTCACACTTGAAAGTGCTCGAGCCGTTTTTTTTTTTTTTTTTTTTTTTTTTAATGATGACAACCGATGATGTGTGTTCTTTTGACTCCTCAGTTCTTGATGTCTGGCTGGGCCACCACCTTCACTTGGAGGTGTGACCTGATCGACCCGAGCACCAGCCCAGAGGCTCTGAGGGTAAGTCGGCCTCACGGTGCCCCGTCTTGCTTTGAGCGCCGCTAAAGTCGAGGTTATGTTTTTACCCTCGGCACGTGTTTGGGCTGAAACCAGAGACCCTGACCGTGGCTGCAGCYGTTGTTTTTCACTATTTTACAGACAAAACACTTGGTTTTCACAAAGTGTGTAATTGTCCTCTTATCCATTCAACACTGGGGGCTAAAAATGCCACGCCTATTGGGATTTGCTCAATCGTAAACACACAAAAATACACAATCTGTGTCATCCAGTCTCACTATTTTTGCCAACAAATGTCATCTTATAATGTTTTTTCCACAAAAATTGATGTAGACTTTTATATCTTGTTTTCTGCAGATGGTACGAGTGGCCTGGTTGTTCTATTTTTCAAAGTTTATTGAACTTCTCGACACAGTAAGAACATTTAACTTCTTTTACCCCTACATTTTTGGCCAAATAATTGATATTCCTAACTACAAATTGTTAACCATATAATATTCTTTTTTTTCTTTCAGGTATTCTTTGTGTTGAGGAAGAAGCAAAGTCAGATCACATTTCTCCACGTCTTCCATCACTCCTTCATGCCCTGGTCATGGTGGTGGGGCATCACCCTCACGCCTGGTGAGATTTCTCAACAAACACACATGCCCCATTGATGGAATTTCTATTAAATCTGGTGTGTTTTATTGCCAAGTTGCCGCATCGCTTAACTTCAGAGTTGCAATGTAACTAAGTACAAATACTTTGTTACTGTACTTACATAGAATTGTTAGGTATCTATACTTTGAGTAATTATTTTTCAGCCTACGTTTTACCTCTACTCCTTTTATATTTTTACACAATTATCTGTACTTTCTACTCCTTACATTGTTTAAAAGGATAAGAAGTAGAAAGTTGTTTCTCCTATTTCATTTCGGCTTGTTATTGTAAAAAAATACTATCCTGAATAATTGTGGCTCCTGGATAGAGTGGATTTAATTGTGTTTGGATGAGAAATATAAATATATACCATTCTGATACTGTATTTTTTGTTTGTACACAATCCATCAAAGTTGCACGCCTTTAGAAAAAATACTTTTTGAAGATTTTTTTTTTTTGAAGAATTTCCAAAATACATTTATTGGGAGGTCACCTCCCCATAAAATCTAACTGTATATTCTTACTCAGTACTTTTATTTTTGTTACTTAAGCACGTTTTATGTCAGAAATTTACTTTTGATATTAAAAGTACAAAATAAATCAGATACTTTCTTTGACTCAATATTCTTAGAGGTGACTTTAACTTTGACCAAAGTCATTTTATGATAAGATACTTGTACTTTTACTTATCACTTTCAGGTACTGTATACAACACTGCTTAACTTTAAACATAAATTCATTACTGCTTGTGGATATTTATTTTATTTTTTCTTTCTCTTTGTCCAGCTGGAGGAATGGGATCATTCCATGCTTTGGTGAACGCATCAGTCCATGTGATCATGTACACCTACTACGGCCTCTCGGCTGCAGGGCCTCGTTTTCAGAAGTATCTGTGGTGGAAGAAGCACATGACCGCAATCCAGCTGGTATGTTATTTTCCAACAAATGTACAACTTGGCCCATCTGATTCAAACCATCTCTGGGTTAGCTTTTAACACCACCGGTTGCTTTCTGTCCTGCTTTACAGACGCAGTTTGTTCTGATCTCCATCCACATCAGCCAGTACTACTTCATGGAGCACTGTAGCTATCAGATGCCCATGTGGATTCATTTGATCTGGATGTACGGCTTCTTCTTCTTCCTCCTCTTCTCCAACTTTTGGGTGCAGGCCTACATAAAGGGCAACCGGCTCCCTACCGTAGACCACAGTCCCAAACAGAACGGGTCGACCAGTGAACACATCACTGTCATGGCCAATGGTAAACACCATGAAAACGGGAATGCTCACCACTACACCAATGGTAAAATCGTCATGGGCAAAGTGAAGGAAATCTAAACGTGACTCAGGAAACAAGGAGACACAGACAATTAGTGTTTTTTGTTTTGCCTTTTTTTAAGTCATCTTAAATATGCCACTTATTTGTAACTAGTAGCATATTTGAGTAAAAAGGTTCARTGTGCTACCTCTGATTTGAGTTTGTAAATACATCTCCTCTTTTATGACATAGTCACACTACCGAGATATGATTGGCATCCAAGTTTTGCCACTGATCTCCCCGCTTGAAACGCTCTGCAAGTTGTTGCAAAAACTATTTAACTGTGATGAACAGGGAACGATAATTGGTGCTCATTTTGTCACTGATAGTATTCATTAACTCAGGCTTGACCTGCAGCACGGTTCGGCTAACGTGGCCTTTGTTGTTTGGGAGTGTGGCAATATTTCCACTGGATACAAGTATGTGTAAATAGTCAATTTACCATGAAACGTGTGGAACAAGGTGGAAGGAAAAGAAATGTCATTGTAAATGTCAAATATTTAGTTTCTTTTTATTTATCGATTTGAAATGAAACCAAAATTAGATGAAGGTCTGTGTCATTTAGAAAGCAGATATGGTGTGCACTGTTTGAGCAACATGCTATTTCTGTTTTTCTGTTCTTTTGAAATATAGACTAAGAAAATGTTTCACTGTATATTACAGTATTAATGCTTTTTTTTGTTTGTTTTTTGTATTTAAACAAATTCAGATAATTTTGAGACCCTGTATGGCTTTGTCTATTGGTACAATGAGCATAGTGTCACTGACATTGAGGAAGGGTCTGAACTTGATATAAACTTATCAATGTTTGTTGATGTTTAGATTATGTATTAATCTTTGACTTCAAAGAAAATAAAATAGCTTCCCGAAAGGTGAAACAAGTTACTATCTCTGGATTGTTGGTCCAGTTTCAAAGACTCAAATAAAAAAATGCACATTTCCATTTTTGTTCACTGAAAAACAGACAAAGTCCTGATGTCTCATTATTAAACTTGTATCCCAAACTATTTGGTTTTATTTCATGTCTATACTTCAAAGTTACATTCTAAGGCTGTGAGAAGTAGGGGGTATTGAGGGTGCTGCAGAACCCTCTGATGAATGCTTGGGGACAGCTGAGACATGCATGTAAAAATGAACCGATTACTAAAAGCTACATGTTTAAAATCCAACATTTGCCTGGAGTATTGTTAATCTATAAACAAGCGCTATTTCTGTGCAAAACTACAGAACATTGAAATGGGCAGATAAGTTTGTAGTTTTATGGCTAAAACAGTGGTTCCCAAACTTTTCATCTTCTGATGCACAAAATGGCTCGTGACCCCAAATATTACTGGTCCAATTACAAACTTTAATAACCCTATTAAACATGGATGAACTCACAATCCAAACAGCTTTTATGGCAATATTTATTTTATAATGTATTTTAAGGATTTTTTTTATTTCTGGGGATTATCTGCAGACCTTCACTTGATACTTCATGATTTTCAGTTGAGAACCGCTGGTTGTAAAATATAAATTTGTATATTTCATATTTGGCATTGTGACATTCTGTTTAGCCCTTAAAAATGAAGTCCCATGCACAGCTTCAGTTCAAACTATTTAATTTTCATAATCAGTGAGCCACCTCAGTTTTTCATCTTGACATTCCCATTCATTTATTTGTATTCACTTGTCTACAGGGGCTCTCAAACCTTTTGGGTCTGAGGACTAAACTCCATAGGTATCTGGTTTAGTAAGTTTTTCTAGGGTATTGTTCCCATATGCTTCTAAAAACAAAATTAAATTTGATGACCAAGATACATACAGCTTGAAGATCTCGTGGGTCCTGGAACTCCATTTTGAGATCCATGCTGCAAAGGTTTGTCAGTGACATCTAGTGGCAGTGTGAACAAATTTGAAAATGCAGAGGTGAATGTTAGTTTTCCCCCCCATGTTCGCTCCACCTTGTGTGAAGTTGAAGGTTAAGGGTGGAGAAAAATCAGTGTTTTGTCTCAGGACCTGACAAATGGCAATTAAAAAAAAAAAAAAACTCACTAAAGCGCAAATAGTTCTTCTGACAGTTTAAAATTCTTAAATCTACCTTGTTAAGCCAGAACACAAATTTTCAACATTTTATAAATTTTAGGTTTGCATTAAAAAGAGTTTGCAATTAGTTGGTTGGTTAATAAACCATTTATTAAAATCAGGTAAATTGCATACATCAAATAAAAGTGTTAAAACCACATCTTGATTAAAAACAAACCCTTAAGAGCAGCTCTCAATACATTTGCAGAGAATTTCACAACTGCAGCATATCCTTTATTGTGGATTAAACATTTGCACATCGTTTAAAATAAACCTAAACACTTGAACAAATCTGGGGAAGTGATCTATCTGATGGACTGATGAATAACGCTGCTGGTCGTTTTCGTCATCCTCTCGCTGCTCTTCTTTTTAGCAGGATCCAACTCGAAGCTCTTCCACAGACGAATCGTTTCATCTCCGGCAACAGTGGCCACCGTGGAGCAGTCCGGGCTCAGAACCATGCTGAGAACCCKGTTCTCATGGCCTAATTAAAATAAAAAGGGGAGGTAAGGACAGGAACATTTAGATCAGTAGCCAAGTAAACGTGCACATTGGGTCTAAAAAGTTTCACATCAAGTATTTGAGACTCAATTACATTCCCAAACTGTGGGCAAAAATCAGACGAGTCAGCTTTGAACTGCAAAAAATGAACCTACCCACCCCCCAACCACAAAAAATAATTTAGTATTTGATATGAACCAAATTTTAAAAGAAGTCAAGTGAATTCACTCTGAAATCTGAAGCTTTCAACTTGTGACCAGACCCAGTTGCATTATTGGCAGATGGGGAATGGAAAATTGCAGTCAAAATGGCTACCACTTACCATTGAGCTCTGCAACTTTGGCAAGAGAAGGGTACTTCCAGATGACAACATTATTGTGGGAATATCCATGTGCAGAGACCAGCTCCTTGTAGTTGGGTGCAAATACAAGTGATGAGATCTGCCAATGGAAGACAGTTTTGTCAACACCGTAACAATTCAAGACTCTAAAGTTGAGAAGTGTGCTGGAGAAAAAAAAAATAAAAAAAACTACCTGGGACTGAGTGTCGAGTGAGCTGATGCAGGAGCCACTGCTTACGTTCCACATGCGGATGTGGCGGTCGCTCGTGCCCCCTCCTGAAGCAAGAATATTCGACTGCCATGGACACCAGGCCAAAGCCTAAAAAAAAAAAAAACCACACTTCCTGAGTGCATTAAAGAGGAAATACCACGGCTTTCGCAAACCACCTGAATCAGCTCACCTTGACAGCGCCCTGGTGTTCGGTCCAGCAGTGCAACGGCCCCCTGGAGTTTCCCTCCTGCACGCGAGGCCACAAGTTCACCAAGTTGTCATTACCGCCACTGGCCAGGTAGCGCCCGTCAGGGGACCACTTCAGGCCACACACTTCCTGTGCGTGTCCGTGAAGTGTGCAGATGTGGTGCTCTGCCACCCTCACGTCATGGTGGTGGATGTGTCCTGATCTGGAGCCGCTACATAATGGAGGTGAGAAGCATGCAAATGCATTTTAAAAAAAGTTGATAAAAGATCAGCTAACATTTGCGTTTTCTCCCACATTTATCACAAATTAAGAGTACCTGGAAAGGATGTGATCATTCCAGCTCAGACTGCCAACTTTAGCCGTGTGACTGGACATACTGCGCAGCCGCTTCTGACTCTCAACATCCCACAACTAGAGGAGAGAGAGAAAAAAAGTTATACACAATATTTAATTCCCTTCTGACTCATTAAATCACCCCCACTTACCTGAACTTTGCAGTCACTGGTTCCAACAGCCAAGTAGTGGCCTTCTTTTGTCCAGGACAGTGAGCAGATGTAGTCATCCTCCTGCTCCATCTTCATTAGAAGATAAACATCTCCCTGTGTGGCATCCCACAGGTACACCCTGTCCTGCAGAGCCACAGCAAGGAGATTCCGACTGCTCCAGTCAAGCAGATTTAAGTCTATGCGGGGGGGGGGGGGGGGATAAAATAAAATTTGTCAGATCTGAAATGGCAGCAGTTCTCTACAGATGTCTTATAAAAACATTTTTTTTWAATGTGCTCAGGCGATGCCGTGTGGCCTCATGTCAGAAAAATTTACTTACAAAAGTCATTTCGGATATCAGGAGCATCCAGGATTCTGTCTGGCGTTAAACTTATGTATCTGGTCTTTTTCAGAGAAGCGGGGGTCGTAACCTGACTGTAGACAACTTTCAAGTTGTTTTGATAACCTAGAATTAAGAGCAGAGATTAGAAGGTAAACATTGTAGGGACGCTGACATATCGCCAGCAGCTGCAGCCATTTTCTTCCTAAACGGCTGAAACACTGAGCRTTCACTTATTTGCTCCCATTTCATCATTTCAACAAAYCGTGCTGATGTCAGGTARTTAGCTGCAGACTCGTTTGAGTTACTGTCACATTGGATTTGGTAAAAGTTTTAATAGTTTAGGATACAAGAAGTTTCATACAAAAACAAAATTGGAATCTTGAATTAAGTGAAATATCTTGATTACAGAAGACTATTGGTTCAGCTATGAATTGCAGCAAAAATCATAACTTCCTTCATTTGAGATAATCACAATCCTGATAGGATTCTAGTGTGAAATTTCATATACATCCCTAAACACTGTTGAAAGTTTTAACCTAAATTGTTTTTCATATAAAACCCKGTAAATTGTTACCTTCAGGTGCATTTAGTGGTTGGCCTCCAAGGTGTAGGATCTTTGCATCATTAATGTTGTAGCCATTCAGTGATACAGACCAAAACTTCTGGGTTTCCTTCAAAYACAAACAACCACGCTGAATAAATAAAAGGTCCAGTTTGTGCAAGGAAAATGTGCTGGTTTACTTACAGCTGTGTTTGGATCAACTGGCTCATTTTCCTTTGTGAGCAGGAAGTTCGCCACATCCATCTGTTTGTKGTTTCTAATGGGAATGTAACGATCACCTCCCATTTTTGAGGGCGTTTTACTTTTTCCTAGAAAAATGGAAAAGTAAGAATTCACTTCAGTTTGTAAAAGTGATCATAGAGCATCATAAGACTTAAAGACAAAAAAGGGGGAAAAAAAGGCACCAGTGGTGGAGAAAGTACTCAAATACCGTACTTAAGTAAAAGTATAGATAAACAGTCAAAAATGCACTCTAGTAAAAGTACCACATTAACATTTTTACTTAAAGAAAGTACTTTCTTTTAAAAATACTTAATTTTAAAAGTAAAAGTACTTGCTAAATGTATTCCCTAATGGACTACAATATCAATAAGTGTCCCTACTGTCTGAATATGTTTTAATACATCTATAATGTGCCATTTTAGTAAACAATGGTGTAAAGCATGGTTGTGTTTACTCTCTTGTGACACGGTTCACACTTGCACTTGTGATTCTGTGAATCACAATTACAGKCATGCATGATCTGCAGAAGTAAATGCCATTAAGCAAAATAAAAAAGGGCAGATTATACCTTTGAAAGCTTTTTTATTTAAACAAATCAAAACCAGTGTCAATGTGTCATTTAACTGAGTTAAATGCATTCAAATAAAATATGTCTGCCTGAGAAAGGCGGCATTAAATATACTTTTTAAAAAAAAGAGTGCACTGATCCTTTATGCTGACATTTTAACTTTAGTTTGTCATGAACTTCAGTTAAAAAAATACTGTATAGCTAACCTCTTAAAGGGCCAAACATGAATAATATTTTAATTTCTTGGCACCATTTTCAAAAATTTAACACAAGTGTAAAACTGTTTGGGGACATCTCTTGTCCTAACATTATACACTGCAAAAACTGTCCATCTAACCAAGTTTTAAAATCTTATATCAGCCAAAAAGTATTTTTGATCTTGTTTCCAGACTGATTTACTAAACAAGAACTGACTGTAAGAATAATAATCTTGTTTTCAGAATGTGTAAGATTATTTGTCTTGTTAGTCTGAAAACTTGACTCAAATTAAGTCAAAACTTTCTGCCAATGTAGTAAGAAAATTTTACTTGGTAAGATTCTTAAAATACTTGATTTGACTCAGTTTTTTCTTATTTCAAGTATCTTACCAAGTAAAAATTTCTTACTCCACTGGCAGAAAGTTTTGACTTAATTTGAGTCAAATTTTTAGCCTAACAAGACAAATCTCTGAAGGCACACCTACCTGGGGTTTTGCTCGGCGTTTTGGACAAACTCTGCGACGTGTTGGCAGACTTTCCACCCGGAGACAGGCTGCTCATGTTGGCGGCTGCGTTTGACGAGCTGCCCTTCCTTTGCCACCTCGCCATCATGGGAGCGTTTGTAATCGGCATGTCGAGCTTTAATATGCTTTGGATGTCATTCTCAAACCCAAACTGCGCCATTTTGCTCTCCCAAACCTGGACGTCAAGACAAGGTTGTTGTTGTTTTTAACCGATTTAGTGACTAGCTTTTCTGAGATGATAAGATAGACGAAATAACTAATCGTTGCAAACATCTTCGGTGTTTGCATTAAACCCCTAGAGCAGGTAAATTAAAAACAAAAAACAATGTGGAGTCGAAAACCGTGTAAACAGAACTCACCTCTTGTAGAAAGTATGAGCYCCAACGCGTTGTTTGACACTGGGGAAGTTTAAAATTCGTACAGCTCAGCACGCACGCTTAAATCCCACTAAGCGCATCTGTGATTGGTCCGTTCAAGACGCAGCCGTTAACTACCACGGTAACGCCATTACGTCATTTCCGTAAACACAGAGGTGATGAAGATGAGATTTCCTACATCGCCCCCTACAGTACATAAATTATACTTCAGCTGTGATGAGTATTTTTTTTTATTGAACAACAAAGAACACACAAAATAATACAATGTACAAACAATAAGGCGTATTTCAAACAAACAAACAAACT